AGGGGGACGTGGGGGTGAGCGGGGCTGGAGGGAACAGTCCCACCGTGTGGCCGTTTTCCCTCTACAGCTTTGCCTCTTCCTCCTTTTGCAGCATGACATAAGTCAGCGGTTCTCAACCTGGGGGTCATGACCCTTTGGGGGCTGAGCCACCCTTTCACAGGGGTCACACCTAAGACCATATTTCTGATGGTCTTTGGAACCAAGACACCGCTCCTCTGACGTCTCTAGGCGGGTCTGCCCACATGCAGATACGCCCACATATGGGGTCACCCACCACATGAGGAACTGTATGAAAGGGTCACGGCATGAGGAACGTTGAGAACCACTGACATAAGTCTTAAGCGAAGAAGATGGTGCTGCCCGGAGACCGGTAGGTAGGTTCAGTGGAACATCCCCGCGTGTTCCAGGCCAGCTGATGGGGCCAGCGCTGCATTTCCTGGGAGGTGGTGTTTGTTCTATGTATGTAGGCATGTCTATATGTCTTAAGTCTTGACAGGGAGACCCAACCCCAGCCTCTCCTTCCAGCCCAACTCTGCCAGCTGGCAGGCTTTAGGCATTCCATACTGTGATGGCTCCATTTGCTTCCTTTGAGAAAGATGGTTAGAGTCCGTCCATCTCAGGGCACCCTCGCTCCATGGAGCACTGTGCAGGGTGCCAGGGACTAGAGAGGCCGCTAGGGTTTCCAAGGCTGTAAGTCTTTACAGGAGTGGACAGAGTTATCTTTGCCCAGTGGGCTTGAACCGCCAACCTTTCAGTTAGCAGGCCAATGCCTAACCCACTGTGCCACCAGGGCTTCTTCGAGAAGTGCGGGGTGCCGTCTGTGATGTCCGAGGGCTGTGGGAGGATGGTGAAGACTAGCTGGTGCCAAAACACACTCATGGTATAGAAGCACTAAAGCCCTCCTCCCGTAGCGCCTGGTTCATAGGAAGCCCTCCATGCATAACGATCACTTTGTTCATCTTTGTTCATCGGGGGCATCTGAGCAGCCTTCACAGCTTGGCAATGCCCGGACCCCGACGTGCTTGTCCAGAGAGCAAGACTTCCAACTCTCTGCTCACGGCCACTCGAGTCAGTGCCGACAGGCAGCCCGATAGGGCGCCTTTACAGGAGCAGGCAAGCCTCCCCTTCCTCCTGTGGACTGCTGGTCGTGTGGTCTGCAGGCCAGCGTGTCAGCCCCTACCCTAGCTGGGCTTCTTGAGCAGAATGTAGTCAAGAACCCGGTGTTCTAGTCCCAGCTCTGCCCTGACCAAGGAAAGGGGGGACTCTGCTGAGTACCCAACCTGCACCAGAGCACTGCACAGCTCCCCCCGGCCCCAATCTCTTCCCTTCCTCAGAAGTGGGTGGGGTTCTATTTCCCAGGTGAGGTTCCTAGAGAGATTTGGCCCTACCCCCACCAGTCTTCCAGACTTCCCGTGATGTCACTACCATCCCCACACACTCCCGGTCCCCACAGGGCACTCCTCTGCTAGCAGGGACACCTCAGGTGGCTCCTCCAACCTCCTTGAGCCCCACAGTCTCTAGAGCTGAAAAGCCACCTGTGGAGTTGGGCTTGTGCGTAAAAAAAAAAATCCTGCCGCTTCCTTCTCACTTTAGCTCTCTGCTGCCACCTAGTGGGAGCGGTCCAAGCAGGAGGCACTGTCAGCTCCAACCGGGAGTTATCTCACAAAAGCCTGCTTCTGACTAAGCAGGTAACCCAGCCCCCCATTTTCACCTTCCAGGAACCTCCCAGAGGTGAGACACTCCTCCTTCCACCCCCGTAAGAGTTCGGGGGGAGATGCTGGGATTCATATAAACCTCAGCTTTTACAAATCAAGATTTCAAAGTCGCCTTCTCATAGTCAATTCTGACTCGTGGTGACAGGGTGGAAATGCCCCTTGTCAGTTGGGTTCTGGGACCGTAAAGGTTTACAGGAGTCGAAAGCCCACCTTTCTCCAGCTGAGTGGCTAGTGGTTTTGAACTGCTGACCTTGTAGTTAGCAGCCCAAGGCGTAACCACAGAGCCAGCAGGACTCCTTGTCTGTGACCATGTGAGCACACATTTGGTTTGTCACGGGTACTTTAGGACTATCTAGCCTGTGGCATCCAGTACTGCCAAGGCAGATAGCATTAACTTTATAAATACATATTTACTCAAATTAACTGTTTTATTATTAGTATGCTAATTGTCAGGGGAGAGAGCCCCTAACAAATCATCGCAGGTCTGGGAGGCACAATTGTATAGCAATAATAAGTAAACATTATAGTAAAGTCATGGAGAATATGAGAGATAGAAGAGAGATTGAAATGGAGTCAGACACATTTCAGGGTAGCATGCTCACCTCAGCCCCGCTTGGTGGTCCACATGGAGAGAGCCGGAGAGAGAGACGTTTATTGCTAACCAAAGCTTATATTTCTTTAGGGGGTGTGACTAGGGGTAACCACACACGTCACAGGAAGGGGCTGTACAATAGGCAATACAAGCAGGGGGATATACAATGGGCATAGGGGTAACAAGAAGAGGATAAACTAGGGGTGTACACATAATGTGAAGGGGAGGGACTAGGGGTATACATGTGACAAGAAGGGCAGATTCATGATGGCAGCCTAACTTTGGTCACCCTTGAGTGGGCTTGA